GGAGGGGAGGGGTCTCCAGGGCCCGAGGCTGGGGGTGGGGAGCTGTGGGGGTTTCTGGAGCCAGCCCAGTGCCCGCAGCCTGTGTCAAGGCCAGGGGAAGCTCAGGATGACCCTGAGGCTGCTCTGGGTGGGGGGTAATCGACATGGCAGGGCAGCCACAGGAGGAGGCGGGCCAGCGCCAGGAGAGCCGGGGCAAGAGGTGAAGCCGGCCCTGCAGCCCCTCGGAGGCCGACTAGCCCCCAACACCACTCAGCTGCCCCCAGCCCCAGACACCTGGCACCAGCGCTCCTGCTGCCAGGAGGGCGAGGGGCCGCGAGAGGTTGGTCCTGGAGTTGGTGGTGCCAGAGCAGTTTGTGGCCGTCCTGGCCCAGGAGATGCAGAGCTGGGAGTGGGATCGTGGCGTGGAGACCTGCGCCAGGGCCACGGCCTGGCCCAGGGGTGCAGCTGGGGCAGGCAGCAGACAAGAAGCCCCAGGGCGCAGCGTTTCCCCCAATCCTCTGTGCTCCATCCCCACCTTCCTGCGTCTGGGGCTGTTCCCTCCCCTCCCGTGACGCGTGGATCTGGTCCCCGGTCCAGGCAGCGTGACGGCGCAGGAGACGTGCTCACACGCGGCGCAGCCCCGCGGGGCACTGCCGGGACCGGCCGAGTGCCACCCCCGCGGGGCCCTGCGGGGACCGGCCGAGTCCCGGCTGCAGCAGCCGCAGGCCCGTGGCGCGGACATGGCTCTGGAGGAGGGAGGACAGCAGGACGCCCCATAGGCTCAGGACAAGCCACCTCGTGTCCCCAGAGAGGAGCCCTCACCCGAGCAGAAGTCAGGTACGGGGCCGGACGCAGGTCCGACAGGGGTCTGGATGCCTTAGGGGCTGTCTATGTGTGGGGGGAGACACTTGAGTGTCTGCCCCGGCTGCGACAGGGCTGTGGTATTTGTAACCCCTGTGGCTGGGGTGGCCCAGAGCTGTGGTCTGTGTGGTGGCAGCTCCCAGGTTGGGCCCTGGTGTTTCTCCTTGCACGTGTGCAGCACCCAGCACATAGAGGTTTTGTCCCGGGGGCTCGTCGTGCTGCCACAGGAACAATCAAGGGTCTAATCCATGTTCCTGCAATCAGTGCCCCCTGCCCCCCTGTTGGCCAAATGGCTAGTTTCGTGCCCCTGGAGGCTAGACCAATTTTTTCTCCAGGAGAGAGTTATACACAGGGTGGGTCCGTCATGAGTTTATTGATTGCGCAAGCAATGTCGACAGAGGAGCTGATGCTCAAAGCTGTTTTTCTCGGGGTTACACTTTTATAGCTTACATAAACAAAGGGCTACAACGTGTCATACAACTATTGGCAGTACCACAATTTCCTTGTTGTTACGTCTTATCTTATGGGCTAGGCTTAGTTTGCTATTGGTTAATGTCTCCTGTTAAGTTTAGTGCATGTGTATTTCAAAAGCAGAACTGCGGCAAAAAGTTCTGTCGCATGCGCAGAGGAAAAGGGGAACTGCGGCAAAGTTAATGTCTTTTAGTAACCTTATACCTTAGTGTCACTTCAGGGCATTAGGCAAGTATGGTTACAAAATGCAGAGCAAGCAAGAAGGAAAAAGAAACCCACAACTCAGTCGTTAGGCCTCGTGCTTTTTATACAAGAGATCATGAGGGACTCATACAGTTATTACTCAAGTGAGGCCCAGGTCATAATGTATTTTTACCGCACCCCTTTCTCATGCCCCGGCAGTGCTGTATGTCCGCGCAGGGGCTGGGGCGGGTGTTGGGACATGAGATTCCCCAGGGACGTCTGCCAGGTCCAGCCCAGCTCACGCCAGGCCTCTGTGCTGCTGCCGACCGCCCAGAGCAGAGACCTGGGAGCCGTGGGCAGACGAAAGCCCCTCAGGCTGGTGCCCCAGAGCAGGCCCTTGCCCGGGGCTGGGAGCGAGCGGTGGCTCGCCCCTTTGCAGCAGCAGCAGCACCGTGCGTCCGTGGAGGAGTCTCTGCCAGGACGTTTGGTGGGGTCCGAACTCTGCCAGGACGTCTGGCGGGTCCGAGCTGCCACAGGTCGGCTGTTCCTGTCCTCCCCGTGGCCCTGGCCGCCCTGTCCATGCCACTGCCCGTGCATTTCCCGTCCCCTGCCCGTACAAGCTGGATGTGACGCAGCCCCAGGGTCCCTGCAGCTCCTCTCCCCGGGAGCGATGTGTGTGCCGCGGTGCTGTGATCCCACCCCGCGCTGGGACAGAGTCCCGGGGGCTCGTCCCCAGTCCGTGCCTGTGGAGGTCCGCTAGCAAGAGCCGTGGGGCTCGGAGTCGTCCTTGTCCCCCACGTCCCCCGCGCTGAGGCCTGTGGCTGCCTTGGTGCCAGGCCAGGGCAGGAGCCCAGCAGGGCTGTCCCCGGCCGCAGCGCCAGGGCTGACCTGCGCCCGCTCTTGCCCCCGCGCAGGTGCCGGGACCCGGAGCAGAGCCGAGCAGCAGGCTGGTGAGGAAGGGCCCGTGCGCCTGGAGCTGCAGAGGACTTGGCCAGGGAGCCTGGGAGAGAGGGGCTGCCTGCCCCCGGAGCCGGGCCCAGGGCAGAAGGGGCAGGCGAGGGAGAGCCTGGAGGTGAGCAGGGCCCCAGGGGCAGCTGGGGGTGGGAGCGCAGCTGGGGCAGAGCCCGGAGCAGCCAGGGGTGCAGGGAAGAGTTGGGGGGGGAGCGGAGAGACGTGGAGAGCGACAAACCTCTGGTGACGTGCAGACACACCAAGCTGGCCCGAGCCGGAGCTCGCTGCCAGGTGCTGATGTGCAGGGGTGCGGGCACGGGAAGGCCCAAGCAGAGTCCACGGGGCCAGGGCTCCCTGCCTCGAACTGGGCTGCCTACACAGAGTAAGGAAATAGCAGGGCATGAGCTGGGCCAGGGCAGACACATGAACTCCTGCGTGGACGGCTGCATCCACACCCCACGTCCACAGAGTGACGGGGAGTTTTACACCCTGCCTGTCAGGGCCAGGCTGGGACACAGCTGTAGTGCCGAGTGATTGCAGACAGGGCCGTGGGGCTGGGAGCAGCTGGCCCAGGGGACACCGATGGTGCAACGCTTGTGCCCGCAGCTCCCAGCGGTGTTCGAGGCCGTGGCAGTGTATTTCACGCGGGAGGAGTGGGAGCTGCTGGACGACGAAGGCAAGGAGCTTTACCGGGACCAGATGCTGAGGAATTACCAAGCCCTCGTTTCCCTGGGTAAGGCTCTGCTCCTGGCTTCTCCCTGCGGCCATGTGAGCGCCCACGTTTCTTGTCTTCTCCCTGGTTTTCAACCGTCTCATCCTCATGGCCAGGGGTTGAACCCCACGTCCTCCCCATTGTGGGAATTCTGTGGGGAATCAGGCCTCTCACGTTTCATCCTGATACCTCCTCCTTCGTTTCGTCCAGATACCTTCCCCTGAGTCTTCCCCATTCGTGGGACTCCTGGGGCTTCCCTGCGCAGCAGTGTCGTGGCAGTGCAGTGTCTCTTTGCTTTCCCAGCGTCTTCCACCAAAAGATTCCCTTGGGGAAGGGCTTCTCCTGCCACAAGTCCCGTGGGCCACTCTTCTGACCCTCTTCTCTCCACATCTTGCAGATTATTTTCCTCCACTATCTGTTTCAAGAGCCTGGAGGTTTTGTCCATTCCTCCCCGTTCCTCTCCATTTTCTCACCTACTGTCTGTTTTATTCAGTGGAAATTTCCCACAAGGACACTGGGTTCGGATCCTGGGAAGGTCCCTGCAAGGTAACTCAGTGCCCCATAGTGGGCTTCTCTTCCTGATGGGCCCTATATGTTTGTGACCAAAAACACTGTCTCAGTGATATCTTGGCTTGAAGAGCTGCATCTAGCTGGTAATTCTGTTATGCTAGAAGGGGAGGGGTGGGGGGCACGGGCATGGAGGGGTGCAATCAAGGCCTCTGCTGTGAGAGAGGGAGTGAAGCTGAGGCAAGCGCTGCCCAATCGGGGTGGGCTGGGGGTAGAGCTGCGACTTGTTCTGGACATTGCAGTCCAGTTCATCCAGTGGCTCATAGATGAAAGGGACCCAATGGATCATCATGTCTGACCCCCTGCCCCTGGCAGGAAAGAGGACCGAGGTCAGACGACCCCGGCCAGGTGACTATCTAGCCTCCTCTTGAAGACTTCCGAGTTAGGTGACAGCACCACCTCTCTTGGAAGCCCGTTCCAGATTCTGGGCACCCTTGGATTGGTGCCACTCTCCGTGCCCAGTCCGGCTTTGGCTCTGCTGGGAATAGCCCTATAAAGCTTCAGCTTGCCCCACGCGGATCTGGGGGCACGCGCCCCCACGTGCCTTAGTTTCATAGTTGGTCGGGTCGGAAGGAACCTGAGCAGATCATCAAGTCCGACCCCTGCCGTGGCAGGAAAGAGCACTGGGGACAAACGATCCCAGCAAGGTGTTTGTCTAACCTCCTCTTAAAGACCCCCAGGGTAGGAGCCAGCACCACTTCTCTTGGAAGTTG